GAATCCGATTGACCTTGTGCCATCGATCAGTTGCTCCCTCAAGACTCCATCGTAGAAGAGGTTCCATAGTAGCGGACCTAGTACCGACCCCTGAGGTACTCCAGCTGTTACTTCCAATTCCTCTTTGCCCACGATGATCTTCCTGTTGCTCAGATAGCTCCTTATTATATTTCGCAGGTAGGTCGATATCTGTCGTCTCCGGAGCTCTGCCTCTATCAGTTTCCACGATGCTGTATTGAAGGCGTTTTTTATATCTAGCGTTATCAGCGCCAGCCACCTCTCCTGGCAGGTCGTCACAATTTGCCTCACTTCTTGGACTGCCTGTACGGTCGAATGTCCTTTACGAAATCCGTGTTGGTTACTAGAGAGCCCCCCGTTATCCTCTATTTCTTGCTCTAGTCTATTTCTGAGTAGGCATTCGTACACTTTACTTATCGCGCACAGCAAGCAAATGGGCCTGTAGGACGATGGTATTCCTAGAGGCTTTCCTGGTTTTGGGACTAGTACAAGTTTAGCTGCTTTCCAGAATGTTGGGAACTCTTGTTGTCGTAATAGCTCATTGTAGATGTCCAGGAGGAAATCTGGGGAGATCTCCGCGATTGCCATAATGGCTTCCGCCGGCACACCGTCAGGTCCTGGCGCTTTTCTTTTTTTCGCGCTTCCAATTGCCTTCAAGAGTTCTTCCATAGTGAAGGGGTTTGTTTCCTCCAGAGGTTCCCGTTCAGGGCGGTGGTCCTGTCTTTGTGAGAATAGGTGTTTTGCAATGTCTATCTTTTGGGCATCCGAAAGGTCTGCTGGTGTGTGCTTTGTTAGTTTTCCACAAGCAATCCTGTATCCATCTCCCCAGATATCTTCTTCGAGCTCGTCGCATAGATTTGCCCAGTGTTCTTTCTTAGCATCGCGTATCATTTTCTTTAGGGCCTTCTTCGAATCCTTGTATTCCTCTCTCGCATGTTCACGTTGTTCTGCAGTGTACCCTATCATCCTTCTTTGCGTTTGTCTTCTCATTCTGGTGCACTCCGCCCTTTTGTCGCTTATCTCGCTGTTCCACCAGAAGGGGAGTGTTGCTGGTCGTCCTGAGATGCTATCCGTGCAGCTGCGGTATGAATCCCGTATCAATTTCACCCTTGACTCCACGTCTGTTGCGGCTGAGGCCATCCACTCCATCATAAGTCGGAAGGCGGCCCAGTCGACTGCAACGGTCTTCGGCTCGTTAAAAGTTTTCTGCACTTTTTCTGCGACCTCGAAGGTTATATACTGGTGGTCGCTAAGATTCTCGTCTTCCAGCACTTTCCAATCCAGGATTTTTCTACCTAGCCGCTTCGTGGAAATGGTAACGTCTATGTACGAACTTTGGTCTCCTCTGCGGAACGTTGGTTTACCTCCTGTGTTAAGCACCATCATGTCTGCCGTCGTAAGTCCATCCGCGAGATATTTGCCGCGTTCGTCTGCGACTGGTGACCCCCACATAGGAGATTTAGCATTAAGGTCCCCGAGTATGATTCCCTCGTCTCTGGTGCCATTGCAGATGTCCAGTATGTCGTCTACGGTCCTCTTAAATGCTGCGAAGTCGATGTTTGGTGATATGTAACTACATAAAATATAAAATTTATCGACATGTACCCTGATGAATCCGGCTCTGACCATTATATCCTTGATAGTGATTTTCCTGTTCCTGAAAAAGATTGCTACGTCGGATCTCGTATCCTTGATCCATCTGCCTGAGCTGATAATGTTCTTATTTGGCTCTGATATCACCAGAATATCTGCCCCGTACTTCGCCGCTGCCCCTTGCACCATGTCGTGCGCTCTTCTCGATCGGTTGAGGTTGGCCTGCAAGATTTTCAAATTTTTAGTAGCCATAATTGCCTCTCCGCCTGTTCCTGTGCTCCTCTAGGAGTTTTCGGAAGTGCCGGCACTTAGTCTGGTCTGATCTGTGCCCTTTCTCTTTACACACTCTGCAGAAGGGTTCCTCCTTGCAGTCTCTAGCCCTATGGCCGGTTTTTCCGCACTGCAGGCATGAGTCGGACCTGTTCTCTCCTTTGCAGTCTTGCGACCTATGTCCGTGTTCCAGGCATCTGTAGCATCTGACAATATTCACCCTCTCTTGTACCTTGCAGTTGATCCAACCGATCCTCACCCTTCCTCTCCTGATTATGGCCCCTGCCGTTGGTTTTGGCATTTCCAGTGTTGCTACTTGGTTTCCATAGTGTCCTAGTTTGAGGTATCTCACCACTATATTACCCGCTTCCTCCCCTGTTTCTTTCGCAATGTCCTCAGCCACTTCCGTCGATGTCGCGGCTGCATCTATGCCTGTAATGTAAAGCGTCGTACTATTCAACTTCGAGCTGACTTCTGCTGTTTGAACCTTCTCGGATATAGCTTCCTTGAGGGCTGCCGCCATGCTCCTTCCTCCCTCCACTGTCAGCATAAGATCCCCTTTCCGGGTTCTTCCGATCTTCGTGACGTTGACCCCGATTTGTTCTATGTTGACAGCATTTTTGACATCACGTAGTATTTCCGCGTACTGCTTTCCCTCCGATCGTACGACTACTGTTTCTGCTGGAGCGCGGCTCCTTTGTCTGTCGTAACTGGGTCGGTCTGGTTCGGAGCTTACAATGGTAACCTTTATCTCGATTTTTCTAAACACGCATTCTAAGACCTTTCTTGCGTGGTCTTTGTTGATACCTCTCTGGAGAGCTAGGTGTATGGCTCGTCTCCTTTCCGCCATCAGAGTTTCCTTTAATGCCACGAATATGCTGTGTAGTTTCTCCAATTCGCCCGTCTCCTCCTGGCTTGCCATACAGGGGAGTAGAAAGAGATATCCTATTTTTTCCCTATCCTCCCCCCTACTAGTGTGGGTTTTCGTCGCTCTAATAAGGTACTCGATGTTGCCTTCTTTGAGGGTACTGAGCATTTCCTGCGCTTCTGGGAACTTTTTTTCCACGATCTTCATCACCCCATTTTCGCTCTCATCTCCTGGATCGACTACCAGAGCCATGTCTTTTTTGTCGATTAGCCTGCTAGGGTCACCCCTCTCAATGTCAGTTACAATGTACATGTCATCTGCCCAGTGTTCGTTGATAATGCTTCGTATGGCATCAACGTCCTCCGCTCTGTCTAGGTCTTCCGCAATTACCGCGGATGTCTGGGTGGCTATCTCCCTGGTTAGCTTCTGCGTCTGCTTCTCCTGTACATTTTCCTCTTGTGTCACTTGATTTTGTTCTCCCTCCGTTATGTTTGACGTGAGTTGTGTGTCTCTGGAGGACGCTTCCCATTCTTCGCATCTCCTTGACAGGCTGCTCATTATATATTTCAGGTCCTCTATTGTCTTTTTTATTCCCTTCTGAGTATTCGGGTTATTCCCTATAAGGTTATTCAGCTGGTCGCTATTCTTCTTCAGTTTGTCCAGGAATTGCCTAAACTCCTTGCCATCTACCTCTAACTTACCCCGCGCATGTGCGAGGAGAGGTGACTCCCATCTCTTACGTTTCAGTCTCTTCAGCGTGAAGGCTTCCTCCTCTCGGTCGCAGTTTTCCGCTGGCTCCGTGGCTTTTACCGTGTGATCTCCTTCAGTTCCACTTAGTTCCAGTGCGCTACTGCCAAAGGTATCTTCCTGCCAGAAAACTTCGTTAGATGGCTCATCTCCCTTTGGCGTCATGAAGGACTCCTCGGAGCTCAAGCTCATGCTCCTCCTAGGTTTTACTGGCGAGCGCGGCAGGGAATCTCTCCTGCCAAATATTCTTGCCATTTCTTCCACTCCTCTTGATTTTGCGAGCGTTGCTGTGCTGCTGGACGCTTCTGCGGGTCCTGTATCTCCTTTCGTTTCCCTTGATTTTCCTGTTTTGTTTACCATCATTATTCCCACGAGTAGGGACGAATATTCGGTTCGGCGGGGCAGTGCGCCCTTACCCCGCTAAGGCTTCTTACTCCGGAAGGTCGCCTCTTTTCCGGAGGCTCCGTTCGTGACCAACTGTCGCATGGCCATTCACCCTTTGGCACGGGTCGCTTGACACCTTGGGTTTCGGATTTTGTGAGGGTTCGCTCCCTGTGAGAAAGAGTGAAAGAGTGAAAAGCAAGAGTTGGCCCATAGAGGCCGAAGAGAGCAAGAGTTGGCCAAGGGTGGCCGATAGGATAGGTAGGTGTAAAGAAGTATAGGAACATCCCCCCAGACTAGTTGAAGAAAAGGGATGTTCGGCTAGGATTTCCAGGAGTCGCTGCCTCCTACACTCATCATAATGAGCCCTTACAGAGTTTGTTTTATCGAGGTTGACTCCTCTAGATCCGTAGTGTCTTGTAAGAGACAGGCCGACCTCGAGTAGGATGTACTTCAATGGAGCACGCACTACGGTCTTGCTAGCGCAGAGGCTTTATTTTGCGCAAGTCGCTAGCCTGGGACAAGCCCTCCGACCCTGAAGTTTGAACCTGAAATTATACTTGAAGGTTCAACTTGAAGGTTAAACTTGGATGTTGAACTTGAAGTTTGTACTTGGAGGTTTAACTTGGAGTTTGAACGTGAGGTTGAACTTGAAGGTTGAACTTGAAGGTTCAACTTGGAGTTTGAACTTGATGTCTGAACTTGAAGTTTGATCTTGAAGGTTCAACTTGAATGTTCAACTTGAAGTATGAATTTGAAGGTTGAACTTGAAGGTTGAACATGAAGTTTGAACATCGAGATCAAACTTGAAGGTTGAACTTGAAGTTTGAACCTGAAGTTATACTTGAAGGTTCAACTTGAAGGTTGAACTCGAATGTTGAACTTGAAGTTTGAACTTGAAGTTATACTTGAAGGTTGAACTTGAAGGTTGTACTTGAAGGTTAAACTTGAAGTTCGAACGTGAGGTTGAACTTGAAGGTTCAACTTGGAGTTCGAACTTGGAGTTTGAACTCGTAGGTTAAACTCGAAGGTTGAACTTAAAGGTTGAACTTGAGGGTTGAACTTGGAGTTTGAACTGGAAGGTTGAACTTGAGGGTTGAACTTGGAGGTTGAACACGGAGTTTTAACTTGGAGTTGAACTCGGAGGTTGAACTTGGAGGTCGAACTTGAAGGTTGAACTAGGAGGTTCAACTTGAAGGTTGAACTTGAAGGTTGTACTAGGAGGTTCAACTCCAAGTTTCAACTTGAAGGTTGAACTTGAAGTTTGAACTCGGAGGTTGGACTTGAAGGTTGAACTTGAAGGTTCAATTCGAAGTTTGAACGTGAAGGTTGAACTTGAAGGTTCAACTCGAAGTTCGAACTTGAAGGTTGAATTCGAAGGTTGAACTTGAAGGTTCAACTTGGAGTTCGAACTTGAAGGTCGAACTCGGAGATTGAACTTGAAGTTTGAACTTGAAATTAGACTTGAAGGTTGTACTTGAAGGTTCAACTTGAATTTTGAACTTGAAGGTTCAACTCGAAGTTTGAGCTTGAAGGTTGAACTTGAAGTTTGGACTTGAATGTTGAACTCGATGTTGAACTTGAAGATTGAACTAGAAGGTTACATTCAATGGTTGAACTTGAAAATTGAACTTGAAGGTTGGACTTGAAAGTTGAACTTGAAGTATGAACTTGAAGTTAAACTCGGAGGTTCAACTTGAAGGTTGAACTCAAAGGTTGAATTTGGAGTTTGAACTCGAAGGTTGAACTTGAAGGTTGAACTTGAAGTTTGAACTCGAAGGTTGAATTTGAAGGTTGAACTTGAAGGTTCAACTTGAAGGTTCTATTCGAAGTTTGAACTTGAAGGTTGAACTCGAAGGTTGAATTTGAGGGTTTAACTTGGAGTTTGAACGTGAGGTTGAACTTGAAGGATGAACTTGAAGGTTCAACTTGAAGTTTGAACTTGATGTCTGAACTTGAAGTTTGATCTTGTAGGTTTAACTTGAAGGTTCAGCTTGAAGTTTGAATTTGAAGGTTGAACTTGAAGGTTGAACATGAAGTTTGAACCTGAAGTTATACTTGCAGGTTCAACTTGAAGGTTGAACTTGAATGTAGAACTTGAAGTTCGAACTTGAAGTTATACTTGAAGGTTGAACTTGAAGGTTGAACTTGGAGGTTGTACTTGGAGGTTGAACTTGGAGTTCGAACTTGGAGTTTGAACTTGTAGGTTAAACTCAGAGGTTGAACTCAAAGGTTGAACTTGAGGGTTGAACTTGAAGGTTGAACACGGAGTTTCAACTTGAAGTTGAACTTGAAGGTTGTACTAGGAGGTTCAACTCGAAGTTTCATTTTGAAGGTTGAACTTGAAGTTTGAACTCGGAGGTTGAACTCGAAGGTTGAACTTGAAGGTTCAATTCGAAAGTTGAATTCGAAGTATGAACGTGAAGGTTGAACTTGAAGGTTCAACTTGAAGTTTGAACTTGAAGGTTGAACTCGGAGGTTGAACTTGAAGGTTCAACTTGGAGTTTGAACTTGAAGGTCGAACTCGAAGGTTGAACTTGAAGTTTGAACTTGAAGTTAGACTTGAAGGTTGAACTTGAACGTTGTACTTGAAGGTTCAGCTTGAATTTTGAACTTGGAGGTTCAACTTGAAGTTTGAGCTTGAAGGTTGAACTTGAAGTTTGGACTTGAATGTTGAACTTGAAGTTAAACTTGAAGATTGAACTAGAAGGTTACATTCAATGGTTGAACTTGAAGTTTGAACTCGAAGGTTGGACTTGAAGTTTGAACTTGAAGTATGAACTTGAAGTTAAACTCGGAGGTTAAACTTGAAGGTTGAACTTAAAGGTTGAATTTGGAGTTTGAACTTGAAGGTTGAACTTGAAGTTTGAACTCGAAGGTTGAATTTGAAGGTTGATTTTGAAGGTTCAACTTGAAGTTCAAACTTGAAGGTTGAACTTGAAGGTTGAACTTGGAGTTTGAGCTTGAAGATCAAACTTGAAGGTTCTACTCGAAGTTTGAACTTGAAGGTTGAACTCGAAGGTTGAACTTGAAGGTTCAACATGAAGTTTGAGCTTGAAGGTCGAACTCGAAGGTTGAACTTGAAGTTCGAACTTGAAGTGAGACTTGAAGGTTGAACTTGAAGGTTGTACTTGGAGGTTCAACTTTAATTTTGAACTTGAGGGTTCAACTTGAAGTTTGAGCTTGAATGTTGAACTTGAAGTTTGAACATGAAGGTTGAACTTTGAGGTTCAACTCGAAGTTTGAACTTGAAGTATGATCTTGAAGTTCAAACTTGAAGGTGGAGTTCGAATGTTGAACTTGAAGGTAGAACTCGAAGGTTGAACTTGGAGGTTGAACATGATGTTTGACTTCGAAGGTTGAACTTGAAGGTTCAACTCGAAGTTTGAACTTGAAGGAAGATCTTGAAGATTGAACTTGTAGGTTGAACTTGAAGGTTGAACCTGCGATTTGAACTTGATGGTTGAACTTGAAGTTAAACTTGGAGGTTGAACTTGAAGGTTGAACTCAAAGGTTGAATCTGACGTCTGAACTTGAAGGTTGAACTTGAAGGTTGAACTTGAAGTTTGAACTTGAAGGTTGAACTTGAAGGTTGAACTTGAAGTTTGAACTTGAAGGTTGGACTTGGAGGTTGAACTTGAAGGTTCAACTTGAAGTTTGAACTTGGAGGTTGAACTCGAAGTTTGATCTTGAAGGTTCAACTTGAAGGTTCAACTTGAAGTTTGAATTTGAAGGTTGAACTTGAAGGTTGAACATGAAGTTTGAACTTGAAGGTTGAACTTGAAGTTTGAACCTGAAATTATACTTGAAGGTTCAACTTGAAGGTTGAACTTGAATGTTGAACTTGAAGTTTGAACTTGAAGTTTGAACTTGAAGTTGAACTTGAAGGTTGAACTTGAAGTTTGAACCTGAAATTATACTCGAAGGTTCAACTCGAAGGTTGAACTTGAATGTTGAACTCGAAGTTTGGACTTGAAGTTGAACTTGGAGGTTGAATTTGAAGGTTGTACTTGAAATTTTAACTTGAAGTTGAACTTGAAGGTTCAACTTGGAGATCGGACTTAGAGTTCGAACTCGTAGGTTGAACTTGAAGGTTGAACTTGAAGGTAGAACTTGAGGGTTGAACTTGAAGTTTGAACTTGAAGGTTGAACTTGAAGTTTGAACTTGAAGGTTGAACTCGGAGGTTGAACTTGAAAGTTCAACTTGGAGTTTGAACTTGAAGGTCGAACTCGAAGGTTGAACTTGAAGTTTGAACTTGAAGTTAGACTTGAAGGTTGAACTTGAACGTTGTACTTGAAGGTTCAGCTTGAATTTTGAACTTGAAGGTTCAACTTGAAGTTTGAGCTTGAAGGTTGAACTTGAAGTTTGGACTTGAATGTTGAACTTGAAGTTAAACTTGAAGATTGAACTAGAAGGTTACATTCAATGGTTGGACTTGAAGTTTGAACTCGAAGGTTGGACTTGAAGTTTGATTTTGGAGTATGAACTTGAAGTTAAACTCGGAGGTTGAACTCAAAGGTTGAATTTGGAGTTTGAACTTGAAGGTTGAACTTGAAGGTTGAACTTGAAGTTTGAACTCGAAGGTTGAATTTGAAGGTTGAACTTGAAGGTTCAACTTGAAGTTCAAACTTAAAGGTTGAACTTGAAGGTTGAACTTGGAGTTTGAGCTTGAAGATCAAACTTGAAGGTTCTACTCGAAGTTTGAACTTGAAGGTTGAACTCGAAGGTTGAACTTGGAGGTTCAACATGAAGTTTGAGCTTGAAGGTCGAACTCGAAGGTTGAACTTGAAGTTCGAACTTGAAGTGAGACTTGAAGGTTGAACTTGAAGGTTGTACTTGAAGGTTCAACTTTAATTTTGAACTTGAGGGTTCAACTTGAAGTTTGAGCTTGAATGTTGAACTCGAAGTTTGAACATGAAGGTTGAACTTTGAGGTTCAACTCGAAGTTTGAACTCGAAGTATGATCTTGAAGTTCAAACTTGAAGGTGGAATTCGAAGGTTGAACTTGAAGGTTGAACTCGAAGGTTGAAATTGGAGGTTGAACTTGATGTTTGACTTCGAAGGTTGAACTTGAAGGTTCAACTCGAAGTTTGAACTTGAAGGAAGATCTTGAAGATTGAACTTGTAGGTTGAACTTGAAGGTTGAACCTGCGATTTGAACTTGAAGGTTGAACTTGAAGTTAAACTTGGAGGTTGAACTTGAAGGTTGAACTCAAAGGTTGAATCTGACGTCTGAACTTGAAGGTTGAACTTGAAGGTTGAACTTGAAGTTTGAACTTGAAGGTTGAACTTGAAGGTTGAACTTGAAGTTTGAACTTGAAGGTTGGACTTGGAGGTTGAACTTGAAGGTTCAACTTGAAGTTTGAACTTGGAGGTTGAACTCGAAGTTTGATCTTGAAGGTTCAACTTGAAGGTTCAACTTGAAGTTTGAATTTGAAGGTTGAACTTGAAGGTTGAACATGAAGTTTGAACTTGGAGGTTGAACTTGAAGTTTGAACCTGAAATTATACTTGAAGGTTCAACTTGAAGGTTGAACTTGAATGTTGAACTAGAAGTTTGAACTTGAAGTTTGAACTTGAAGTTTGAACCTGAAATTATACTCGAAGGTTCAACTCGAAGGTTGAACTTGAATGTTGAACTCGAAGTTTGGACTTGAAGTTAAACTTGGAGGTTGAATTTGAATGTTGTACTTGAAATTTCAACTTGAAGTTTGAACGTGAGGTTGAACTTGAAGGTTCAACTTGGAGATCGAACTTAGAGTTCGAACTCGTAGGTTGAACTTAAAGGTTGAACTTGAAGGTTGAACTTGAGGGTTGAACTTGAAGTTTGAACTTGAAGGTTGAACTTGAAGGTTGATCTTGAAGGTTGAACTCGGAGTTTGAACTTGAAGTTGAACTTGAAGTTGAACTTGAAAGTTGAACTTGAAGGTTGTACTTGGAGGTTTAACTTGGAGTTTCAACTTGAAGGTTGAACTTGGAAGTTCAATTCGAAAGTTGAATTTGAAGTTTGAACGTGAAGGTTGAACTTGAAGGTTCAACTTGAAGTTTGGACTTGAAGGTTGAACTTGAAGGTTGAACTTGAAAGTTGAACTTGAAGGTTCAACTTGAAGTTTGAACTTGAAGGTCGAACTCGAAGGTTGAACTTGAAGTTCGAACTCGGAATTAGACTTGAAGGGTGAACTTGAAGGTTGTACTTGAAGGTTCAACTTGAATTTTGAACTTGAAGTTTGAGCTTGAAGGTTGAACTTGAGGGTTGAACTTGAAGTTTGAACTGGAATGTTGAAGTTGAAGGTTGATTTTGAAGGTTGAACTCGGGTTTTGAACTCAAAGTTGAACTCAAAGTTGAACTCGAAGGTTGAACTTGAAGGTTGTACTTGGAGGTTCAACATGGATTTTCAACTTGAAGGTTGAACTTGAAGTTTGAACTTGAAGTTTGAACTCGAAATTAGACTTGGAGGGTGAACTTGAAGGTAGTACTTGAAGGTTCAACTTGAATTTTGAACTTGGAGTTCTAACTTGGAGTTTGAACTCGAAGGTTGAACTGAAAGGTTGAACTTGAAGGTTAAACTCGAGGGTTGACCTTGAAGTTTGAACTTGAAGGTTGAACTTGAAGGTTGATCTTGAAGGTTGAACTCGGAGTTTGAACTTAAAGTTAATTTTGAAGGTTGATTTTGAAGGTTGTACTTGGAGGTTCAACTTGGAGTTTTAACTTGAAGGTTGAACTTGAAGTTTGAACTCGGAGTTCGAACTTGAAGGTTGAACTTGAAAGTTCAATTCGAAAATTGAATTTGAAGTTTGAACTTAAAGCTTGAACTTGAAGGTTGAACTTGAAGGTTCAACTTGAAGTTTGGACTCGAAGGTTGAACTTGAAGTTTGAACTCGAAATTGAACTTGAAGGGTGAACTTGAAGGTTGTACTTGAAGGTTCAACTTGAATTTTGAACTTGAATGTTCAACTTGAAGTTTGAGCTTGAAGGTTGAACTTGAAGTTTGAGCTTGAAGGTTGAACTTGAAGTTTGAACTTGAATGTTGAACCTGAAGTTGAACTTGAAGGTTGAACTAGAAGGTTACATCCGATGGTTGAACTTGGAGGTTGAACTTGAAGTTTGAACTTGAAGGTTGAACCTGAAGGTTGAACTCAAAGTTTGAACTCGAAGGTTGTATTTGAAGGTTGAACTTGAAGGTTCGTCTCGAAGGTTGAACTTGGAGGTTGAACTTGAAGGTTGAACTAGAAGTTTCAACTTGAAGTATGAACGTGAGGTTTGACATGAAGGTTTAACTTGAAGTTTGGACTTGAAGGATGAACTTGTAGTTTGAACTTGAAGTTAAACATGGAGATTTTACATGAAGGTTCGACTTGAAGATTGTACTTGTAGGTTGAACTCGATTGTTGAACTTGAAGTTTGACCTTGACTGTTTGACTCGAAGGTTGAACTTGGAGGTTCAACTCGAAGTTTGAACTTGAGGGCTGAACTCGAAGGTTGAACTCGAAGTTCGAACTTGAAGGTTCAACTTGAAGTTTCAACTTGAAGTTTGAACTTGGAGGTTGAGATTGGAGGTTCAACTTGAAGAATCAACTTGTAGTTTGAACTTGTAGATTGAACTTGAAGGTTGAACTTGAAGGTTGAACCTGCAGTTTGAACTTGAAGGTTGAACTCGAAGTTAAACTTGGAGGTTGAACTTGAAGGTTGAACTCAAAGGTTGAATTTGGAGTTTGAACTTGAAGGTTGAACTTGGAGGTTGAACTCGAAGTTTGAACTTGAAGGTTGAACTTGAAGGTTGAACTCAAAGGTTGAATTTGGAGTTCGAACTCGAAGGTTGAACTTGGAGGTTGAACTTGAAGGTTGAACTTGAAGGTTGAACCTGCAGTTTGAACTTGAAGGTTGAACTCGAAGTTAAACTTGGAGGTTGAACTCAATGGTTGGACTTGGAGTTTGAACTTGAAGGTTGAACTTGGAGGTTGAACTTGGAGTTTGAACTTGAAGGTTGAGATTGAAGGTTCAACTTGAATGTTCAACTTGAAGTTTGAACTTGTTGGTTGAACTTGAAGGTTGAACTTGAAGGTTGAACCTGCAGTTTGAGCTTGAAGGTTGAACTTGAAGTTAAACTTGGAGGTTGAACTTGAAGGTTGAACTCAAAGGTTGAATTTGGAGTTTGAACTTGAAGGTTGAACTTGGAGGTTGAACTTGAAGTTTGAACTTGAAGGTTGAACTTGAAGGTTGAAATCAAAGGTTGAATTTGGACTTTGAACTTGAAGGTTGAACTCGGAGGTTGAACTTGAAGTTTGAACTTGAAGGTTGAACTTGAAGGTTGAACTTGAAGTTTGAACTTGGAGTTATACTTGAAGGTTCAACTTGAAGGTTGAACTTGAATGTTGAACTTGAAGTTTGAACTTGAAGTTAAACATGGAGATTTTACATGAAGGTTCGACTTGAAGATTGTACTTGTAGGTTGAACTCGATTGTTGAACTTGAAGTTTGACCTTGACTGTTTGACTCGAAGGTTGAACTTGGAGGATCAACTCGAAGTTTGAACTTGAGGGCTGAACTCGAAGGTTGAACTCGAAGTTCGAACTTGAAGGTTCAACTTGAAGTTTCAACTTGAAGTTTGAACTTGGAGGTTGAGATTGGAGGTTCAACTTGAAGAATCAACTTGTAGTTTGAACTTGTAGATTGAACTTGAAGGTTGAACTTGAAGGTTGAACCTGCAGTTTGAACTTGAAGGTTGAACTCGAAGTTAAACTTGGAGGTTGAACTTGAAGGTTGAACTCAAAGGTTGAATTTGGAGTTTGAACTTGAAGGTTGAACTTGGAGGTTGAACTTGAAGTTTGAACTTGAAGGTTGAACTTGAAGGTTGAACTCAAAGGTTGAATTTGGAGTTCGAACTCGAAGGTTGAACTTGGAGGTTGAACTTGAAGGTTGAACTTGAAGGTTGAACCTGCAGTTTGAACTTGAAGGTTGAACTCGAAGTTAAACTTGGAGGTTGAACTCAATGGTTGGACTTGGAGTTTGAACTTGAAGGTTGAACTTGGAGGTTGAACTTGGAGTTTGAACTTGAAGGTTGAGATTGAAGGTTCAACTTGAAGTTCAACTTGAAGTTTGAACTTGTTGGTTGAACTTGAAGGTTGAACTTGAAGGTTGAACCTGCAGTTTGAGCTTGAAGGTTGAACTTGAAGTTAAACTTGGAGGTTGAACTTGAAGGTTGAACTCAAAGGTTGAATTTGGAGTTTGAACTTGAAGGTTGAACTTGGAGGTTGAACTTGAAGTTTGAACTTGAAGGTTGAACTTGAAGGTTGAAATCAAGGGTTGAATTTGGACTTTGAACTTGAAGGTTGAACTCGGAGGTTGAACTTGAAGTTTGAACTTGAAGGTTGAACTTGAAGGTTGAACTTGAAGTTTGAACTTGGAGTTATACTTGAAGGTTCAACTTGAAGGTTGAACTTGAATGTTGAACTTGAAGTTTGAACTTGAAGTTATACTTGAAGTTTGAAATTAAAGGTTGTACTTGAAGGTTAAACTTGAAGTGCGAACGTGAGGTTGAACTTGAAGGTTCAACTTGGAGTTCGAACTTGGAGTTTGAACTCGTAGGTTGAACTCAAAGGTTGAACTTGAAGGTTGAACTTTAGGGTTGAACTTGGAGTTTAAACTTGAAGGTTGAACTTGAAGGTTGAACACGGAGTTTTAACTTGAAGTTGAACTTGGAGGTTCAACTTGAAGGTTGAACTTGAAGGTTGTACTAGGAGGTTCAACTCAAAGTTTCAACTTGAAGGTTGAACTTGAAGTTTGAACTTGGAGGTTGAACTTGAAGGTTGAACTTGAAGGTTCAATTCGAAACTTGAATTCGAAGTTTGAACGTGTAGGTTGAACTTAGAGGTTCAATTCGAAGTTTGAACTTGAAGGTTGAACTCGAAGGTTGAACTTGAAGGTTCAATTTGGAGTTTGATTTCGAAGGTCGAACTCGAAGGTTGAACTTGAAGTTTGAACTTGAAGTCAGACTTGAAGGTTGAACTTGAAGGTTGTACTTGGAGGTTCAACTTGAAGTTTGAATTTGAAGGTTGAACTTGAAGGTTGAACATGAAGTTTGAACTTTGAGGTTGAACTTGAAGGTTGAACTTGAAGTTTGAACCTGAAGTTATACTTGAAGGTTCAACTTGAAGGTTGAACTTGGATGTTGAACTTGAAGTTTGAACTTGGAGTTATACTTGAAGGTTGAACTTAAAGGTTGTACTTGAAGGTTAAACTTGAAGTTCGAACGTGAGGTCGAACTTGAAGGTTCAACTTGGAGTTCGAACTTGGAGTTTGAACTCGTATGTTAAACTCGAAGGTTGAACTTAAAGGTTGAACTTTAGGGTTGAACTTGGAGTTTGAACTTGAAGGTTGAACTTGAAGGTTGGACACGGAGTTTTAACTAGAAGTTGAACTTGGAGGTTGAACTTGAAGGTTGAACTAGGAGGTTCAACTTGAAGGTTGAACTTGAAGGTTGTACTAGGAGGTTCAACTCGAAGTTTCAACTTGAAGGGAAGTTTGAACTTGAAGGTTGAACTCGAAGGTTGAACTTGAAGGTTCAATTTGGTGTTTGAACTTGAAGGTCGAACTCGAAGGTTGAACTTGAAGTTTGAACATGAAGTCAGACTTGAAGGTTAAACTTGAAGGTTGTACTTGAAGGTTCAACTTGAATTCTGAACTTGAAGGTTCAACTTCGAGTTCAAACTCTAAGTTCAACCCTCGAGTTGAACCTTAACGTTCAACCTTTGAGTTTAACCTACGAGTTCAAACTCCAAGTTCGAACTCCAAGTTGAACCTTCAAGTTCAACCTCACGTTCGAACTTCAAGTTTAACCTTCAAGTACAACCTTCAAGTTCAACCTTCAAATATAACTTCAAGTTCAAACTTCAAGTTCAACATTCAAGTTCAACCTTCAAGTTGAACCTTCAAGTATAACTTCAGGTTCGAACTTCAAGTTCAACCTTCAAGTTCAACCTCTAAGTTCAAACTTCATGTTCAACCTTCAAGTTGAACCTTTAAATTCAAACTTCAAATTAAACCTTCAAGTTGAACCTTCAAGATCAAACTTCAAGTTCAGACATCAAGTTCAAACTACAAGTTGAACCTTCAAGTTCGACCTTCAAATTCAACCTTCAAGTTCAAACTTCAAGTTCAACCTCCAAGTTCAACCTTTGATTTCAACCTTTAAGTTCAACCTTCAAGTTCAAACTTCAAGTTCAACCTACAAGTTCAACCTTCAAGTTCAAACTCCAAACTCAACCTTTGAGTTCAACCTCCAAGGTCAACCTCCAAGTTTAACTTCAAGTTCAACCTTCAAGCTCAAACTGCGGGTTCAACCTTCGAATTCAACCTTCAAGTTCAACCAACAAGTTCAAACTTCAAGTT